TTGAAAGAAAAAATTGTCTAAAAAGTGCATTTGACAAACCTTATTGTTTGTTTGGTCAATAAGTGATCTTGAATTCAAATCTTAATAAGGACATGCTTTAGTAGACTTGGTGAGAATTCATAATACGTATTGACATAAAATATTGAAGATTCTTATGATTTGTTGTTATAATGTAATATAATTAACGAATAAAAGAGAAAAGAAAAAATTATATTATAGAAGATTTTTTTTAAAAATATTATAGCAAATTATCTTAAAAATATAGATAATGATAAAAAAGATAATAAAACTAAAAAGTACTAATATTACCTTTTTGTAAAATAGGCTTACTTTGTAGGACCATAAATAAAGTAAAACAAAGTAGATTAGAAAATTAAATAATATAGATATATACAAGAATAAATTAAAAATAGATTTTAATAAAATTTACCTTAAGAAGCCAAGAATTGATATCCGGAGAGGACTAGTTTTTTACCTAGGTGGAAATGAAATCTTAAGACATAAAACCGCATAGCTATGGTGATTTTAGGATTCTTTGGTAAATCAAAGAGTAAGATTTAAGAAAAAAATTGAAAAGATATTTTTAAGAATTAGTTTTATGTCATTTGAGTTAATATTAAGATTTTGAGGGATTTTTAAAATTAATAATATTCTTGGTACAATGAGGATTTAAAAAATAAAAATATATTTAAAAATTTGAAGGTTTCTTGAGTTTTGTGGTGTATATATAAGTGAAATTTGAAAAATATGTTGGTATAGTAGTTTTAAATGTGTATGCAAATTTTAAGATCAAAAAATTTATTAGATTGAAGTATATGAAGATTTTTGTGGATTGAGGTCTCAAAAATTGGAATTTGGTGATCAACAAGTATTTTTAAGATCTTTAGCAATCTATTAATTAGATTGAAGTGAAATTTTTTTATATGAATACTAGACTTGATTTTCAACATTTAAGTGAAATTTGAGAGCAATTCAATATTTCAAGAAGAAAATATTGAAATTGGAAGTTTAGTATTTAAGTTGGAATAGAAAGCCGACCAACATCTAATTGGATTATCTTGTATTTCTCTCAATTGGTAAATGTAATTGATTTCATCTTTCTTATATTTTTTTCTAATTAAGACATTAAGAAGTGTGCAAATTTTGAATTTTATCAATAATTCGATCATTAGTTATTGAGGTTGTATTTTGCTAAAGGATTTATTAAGAGTTTATTTAAGATCTAAGATTTGATTAGGATTTGGTTTAAGATTTGTTCGAGAGTTTGATTACAATTAGGATTTGATTAGGATTTGGTTTAGAACTTGTTTAGAATTTTTTTAATATTTAGGATTTCATTAGGATTTCATTAGGATTTGATCTAAGATTTGGTTAAGATTCAATTAGGATTTTAATTAGGATTTGACCTAAGATTTGATTAAGATTTAATTAGGATTATATTAAATTTAATGGCGCCATTCTTAAAATGAATCTATAATTACAAGAAATTCTTTATCATAGATCTTGTAGTTGATCTTGGCTATTGAAAATTTTTTAGAATAAAAAGCTATTAGGTGAAGTTTATTATTTGTTCTTATTTATGACAATAAAACATCAAAAGTAAAGTGTGATGCATCCATTTTGATAAAAAATGGGTTAGAAAAGTCAATACAATACAAAATTGGTACAAAAATATAGGTTGTCTTCAAAGCTTCAACTGCTCATTATGCTTCTTAATTCAATTGAAGTTTGTCTTTAGAAGTTAAATGTGTAAGTGAGATTACAATTTAAAAGAAGTCATTGATAAAGATTTGTTAATATTTGGCAAACTCTAAAAAAAATTAGACATCTCTTACCATTTTTAAAATCTTCTAATTCATAATAGTTTGAATTTTTTTAGAATCCATCATAACGTTATCATTTGAAATGATATATCTTAAGAAGTCAACTTGAATAATATGAAATATATACTTTTTTTTTTTATCTTGGCATACAATCTTACATCTTTTAATTTTTTTAATACATGACAAACATGAAGTTCATATTTTTTTATGTTTTTCGAATAGATTTATATGTCATCTAAATAATAGACAATAAATCATCCAAAAATTCTCAAAAGACATCATTCATTAGATGTTGAAAAGCTGCTAGTGTATTTATAAATTTAAAAGGCATTATATTATTTTCAAAATATTTTTACTTGATTTGAAATATAGTCTTTTATTCATCTTTTTATTTGATGTATATTAGATTGTATGCCTCTTGTAGATCAATTTTTGTATTGATCTTAACTTGATTCAATTAATTAAGAAGTCCAAATATCAAAGGTAGCAGGTACCTATTCTTGATGGTGATATTATTGACTCTTTGATAATCAATATACATCTGCAATGATCCGTATTTTTTCTTCATAAATAAAATTAGAGCTCCTATTAGAGATTTGGAATGATGTATGAATTTCTTGGAAAGTTTTTCTTCAATATCTTCTTTGAGTTTAGCCAATTCATTTTGTGATAAATTGTAGATTGGTCCAAATGAGGGCTAAGTTCTTTCTTGAAGGTCAATTAAGTAATCATAAAGATGATGTTTCGGAAGAGTATCTACATTCTTCTTTTCAAATATATCTTGAATTCTTTAACTTCATATTATAATTCATAAAAAAATTTGCTAATAAGTACAGCATCCTCCCACTTGATATCAATTGCAAGTTGTCTAAATTATAAAATATATAATATTACAGATTATTTTCTTTATTATAAAATATAGATATTATTTATTATAATATGAATTGTATCATATTCTTTATATATAGATCAAAAATCTCTTAAGAAAGCTTCCAAATTATCCAATATTAAATCATGTCATTCAAAAAAAAGATGAAAATCATGATAACGTAGAATCAAAAAGTAGTGTTTTAATAAACCTAACTTGTGATCCTAGAATTAGATAGCTTTGGAGTTGAAGTTCAATTGCTACTTATACTTGATTAATAAATCCTCAAAACTTTGATTTTATACCATCAAACTTCTTAAGTAAGGTAATTTTTAGTTCTCTAATACTTGAATGGTATTCTATCATGGAAAAAAGGGATATGATTTGGTGCAAATATTGAAACAACTCCAATCATTTTTTATATCTCCACTTTCTATCATTCTTATTTTTCTTTATGGTGATAAATAGAGTTAATACATTGCAAGCATTAACTCCTTCAATTGTTCTTATATTTGTGCCATTGCATTCTTCATTTTGACAAGGTCTACTATAATAACATTTAAGAAAAAAAATCTAATATTACTTAAGACAAATAAAGGAAATAACTTGAAAACAAAGAAAATACTAAAAATAATATCAATTTAGAAGAAAGTAATTTGCAACTTCTAATATGCTTATGTCTTATTAAGAGAAAAGAATAATCTATTCATAATCAAAAAAAGTCAAAGCTTTGATATTATATGTATACTCTTATCAAACTCTCAAGGATAAGAACTTGGTGAAAACAAATAAATAAGTGAGACTTTTTGAAAGAAGTATGATAAAATATAAATAAAAAAATATTTATATTAAAAAGAAATTAGAATAGTTATTGTAAAAAGATAAGAAAACTAGAGACTTTTTAAAGCTAGACTAGAAGCAAGAAAAGAATTGACAAGAAAGAAGGCTTTATTCTTGCTTCTATATGTACTATCTATATAAGAGTTATGAGACAATGTTTTGTAGGACCTCCAAAAGGTGTTGACTTTGCACAACACATATCTCAACTTGCAAGGCAAGTTTTTTATATGGGTGCCACATAGTTAGCTTATTCTTTAAGCTACCAAGACATGTGGCACGTGGTTAAGTTGTTGACTAAGTTTCTAACCTATCAATCAATTACAAATCCATATAAAGTCAAAGTAGCATCTTTGAAGCTTCTAAGAAGCTTTTCTAGAAGATATTATGAAATTAATCTATTTTTATCTAATTCTATCTATTTATATAATAATTATAATAAATATATGTCCATGATACAATATAAAGGTTGAGATCAAGATTGAGATTAATGTTGAAGTTGAGATGAAGGTCGTTTGTTTCTTCATGAATAAATAAATTCTAAACTTATCTTAGTCCTCTTGGTTCTTTAATCTCTTCTTCTTTATATCTTTACATGTCTTGTAACATCCAACTATTGTCAAATAAACCTTTATTAAGGTTGAAGTAGTCCATTGATGTAGTTTGCTTGGAAAAGATCTTTAGCTTGTACTTGATGATCCTTGACTTGTAGTTGTCCACTTACTTCTGAACTCCATGGCCCTTGTTTTAAAGCTTCTTCAATCTAAAGTTGAAATTCTAAAGGTCTTCATGAATCCTTTCTCTTCTTAAGTCATTCTATGATCTAGGACTTAGAACTATCTACATACAAATGAAATAGAAAAAAGAAACATAATTAAATAATAATTTTTATTATTATTGTGATAATTCAAAAATAAAAATATAATTATTTATAGCTCTCTTATAATAAATTTCTTTCCTTATTACTTGATCTGAGTAAATCTATCTTTTCTTAAATAGAATATTCTAATATATATTTTTATATATATATATATATATATATTTATATTTATATATATATATATATATTTATATTTATATATATACATATATATATAATTTCATTTCTTATTATGTTTTTCTATTGTAGATTGATGATTCTAAAAGAAAGTTGATATTGTCTTTTGGAATTTAGTGTTGTATAAAAACAATAATCTTAATTAATTTGCAAACTATTGTTGAGGGGTAAGGTATGGTACTGAGACAACTGGCAATGTAAACCAAACAAGATTGGAAATATCATCAAAACGGCCTTCCAATGGAGATAAAAAAACACAGCAAAAAAAAAATATAAACTAATTGAATAAAATGAAACTCCCATCTAAAGGGCGTAGTATAAGCAGTCCATGTCGGTGGCACATGGTCTAGAAAAAGCAGGATTGGAAATGCAGAAGCATCCCTATCTGATCACATAGTTTGCCACTACAAAAGAGTCAGAGAATTGAACCCAAGAGGCTAGCATATTTTCTTTATATGAATAAAGTACAATTTCAAGCTGGTCAACCTTGGACCTTCTTGATGAATGATTTGGCACTCCGTATGCTTTTACTAGCATGGAGTAAAATTTTGGAGAGGCTAAAAATTCTTAGCGGTCACATGGTTCTAAATCAATACCAACAGGCCCACAAATTTACTGGAATATCGTGTCATCCACACACCAACCTAGGTGAAATTTCCATGAATCACGTTGCAGCCACTCGATACGCAGCTGTGTGCTAAAATACATCTCATTCCACCACATTCTTACCCAAGGACTAAACGCGTCTAGTCAAACGATCTCAATCGAACAGCATCAATGATTTATCTGAACCAAAGAAGTCACAGGAAAAGCTACTCACTTGTGTCAAGAATGTGAGGAATTCTAACGTATCCCGAAGAATTAAATAAGTGCCTTGGTAGGCGGGTAACTTCACGGTGCACTTGTAGGTTCAGCTTCTGATTTCACTTCTGCTTCATCCAGGCTCTCTACTGATGAAGGCTGCTCCAAGGTTAATGTTTTATTGGTTTCAGGTGAATCCTCAAACTTCGTTTCCTGTCCTTCAAGAATTGGAGACGGGGAGGAACCCTCGTCTTCACTGGACTGAAGACCGGTTAAACGAGCAAGGTCGACCCATTGCTGCATCATAAAAATTCATTACATCAAGTAAAACTTGAGTCAGCTCAGCTATCAAATGATGCAAGGTCTGTGCTTGTTATGAATCGAATGATTAAATGAAGATTGAAACTTAAGGGCGTTAGTGCTTTACCCCAGTTCCCCAGTAAGAATTTATAATACGTGCAGTAAATGATAGCACGCTTCCAGCTAGTGGCTGAGAAGCCAAGAAGTAGTCTGCAATCCAGTGCTCAATAATTCCTGCAATTGCCTGCGTCAATCCACAAGACTCAGATTCTTGCGAAACAATCTTATAAGAAGCAGTAAAGATCAATCCTCATATAACTTTATTTAGCACATTGTGAAATCGCTGACAACGTAGTTCTTGAGAACACCAGTTTGTGCAAACCTGAAATCTACACACACGACAGTTGGAGCAACTGACACGACTGTGGATACCGATAGTAACTATCTTAATTTTTACAAGTCTAAAGTAGTAAGGATGTCGACGTACCTGATAACGCAAATTAGCGGAGAGACCCAGAAAGCTTCCATAAACAAATGCTGTCTTGAACATTGGGGAGCGCTTAGTTACGGATTTTTGAGGAAAATCTCGGTTGAGAGATTTCCGGATAGCCCAGACCCCATTAGAAACCGAGAGTGTGCCAATACTTGATACAAAACCAACACCAAAAAGTTTTAAGCCACCAAGCAGAACAGCAAGTGCTCTTGCCTTCAAATCATAATTTTCTCCCAACCTTGCTCTTTGGAACGCATTATCCGGCACAGTGCCAAGCAAACCAGTCAACCCTTCAAAAATTCCTCCGGAGACCTGGAGAGGATGCGAATATCAGTAACTAACGAATAACAACCAGACTAAATCAGCGAATCACCTCTCGCGTAACGTCATTGATTCCGAAGTAGCTACAAGCAAAACATTTGCATTACAGGACTATCTGACCTGAGCATCCAAAGATCGGAAGGAGAGCGTGGGCGCCGGAAGCCAGACGGTGAAAAAATCAACAACTGCTCCACGGACAGAATCCGTGATAACATATTCAATCTCACTCCAAAAGCGGGTACCTCGGCGTTCGTACTGTGCTAATAAAGTGGTTGTAATAGATATCGATTCTTCAATTGCAAGCCTTTGCAGAAACCGGGGGTCTGCAAGCCATCTCTCCCTCAAACCCTGCAATCGACACTCATTTAGTTAAGTTTGGCATTATCGATCAGACCAGATGATAAATTGCAACATTATGATTTTGAGAATTCTCAAGGAATAGATATGGCAAGCAGAGAATCTACTCACCTGTAATGGTCGAATCATACATAGAGCCCAAATAATAATATGATTTTACTAGCGAGAATAGAAAGACAAATCACGCCTAGGCAGAACACGTGATTTTTTGAAATGTTTCAAGCATGAAGCGTAACAGCAGAAGGTAACCTGGAAGCGACGAGTTAGTTCCGCCATGATTGGATGCTGGTCTAATTCAAAAAAGCTCTTCAGTACTTCTGGATCCACCAATCCTCGCTCAAGCCCAGCTTGAATGTCCTGCTCGTCCACATGCGACAACATGCCATCAGACTTGTACGATTAATAATTTTAAGGCAGAACAATGCAGACCAATAACCACTTTCGACTAAAAATGTCTGATTAGTATCAGTGCTCCTAATTCTCTGTTCTTTTCCCTGAAAAACAGAACATACTAACCTGAGGTAACGCATCACGACGTCTGCCTGCAGCATCCATGACACGAGCAATCTCAGCTCGGTCAAAACAATTCCGGTTACATGCTCGGGCTGAAGAGTACCACAAGAAATCCGCCTCCGGAATGTTGCCTTCCTTCCGTATCCGCTGCCGCTCGGGATTCAGCAGCACTACTGCTTGGGTTTTCTTGTACAGCTTCTTTTGCACCCTAGCAGGTAGCCCCAAGCCTTTCGAACCATACGCTACATGAGATGCTCCAGTGATTACTATTAGCAGCCCAACAGAACCTCCGTCCAACATTCCCTTCTCAACAACCTGTGCAGAAACAGATAAGATATCAGTGTCCAATGCATGTAACGCCCATCCAATTAAATTCGCATTTCATCGCATTCTAAAAGACTTGGTTATATAGGATAGGTTGAATTATGAAAGATGAAAATCTCATGTTTAATGAAACTGATAAAATATCTTGAAAGCGACATGCTTGTGAAAAAAAGCGTGTGGAATTAATTTCAATTAATCATCAGTGTCGACAACGCATGAAACCAGATGCAGTAAGGAATGAGTACCTGAGTCATCAAATGATCAGCAACAACGCGAGCTTGAGAATACTGATAAGAGCCAGGGCCATAAGGACTTGAAGTAATATTACCAAAAGCTATTTGGTCGATGAGCGAAATAGTACCACCTCCAAATCCTCCTCCAACCGGTGGAACATACTTCTTTCTGTCTGCTTCACTGAGACCCTGAATTCCGTTGGCTTGAATTGTGCGCAAAACCTGTATCATAGAACAAACCTAGACTCAGCTCACTTAAAGAGGACAGATCGCCATGCTTGCGGTGGACAGGCAAAGTATGAGTTGAGTCAAAATTTTGGCTATTAGGCAATAAGTGTGTTCAATCTTAGATCAAGAATAGACAACCACCTCTGGGGGAGTTCCACAAGCCATAAGTCGAACCCCAGCTGCTCGGCAATACTGCAACAGCGGCGAGAATTCTTCCCATCTTCCAGTCGGCCAAAACTCGACTAAAGACTTAAGCTCAGCGTCGGATAATCTATCATATTGAACAAGGAGAAATTCAGGAGCCTGCCATGAATTGATCATCACAAGAACATACTACTGACATAATCGGATACAAGTAAATTGAGCAGCGAGCTGTCCTATGCCACATGCACCCCCTCAATAGAATGAAATGCATGTGCAAATAATATAAATTCTTCGGTAAGGATCACAAGGGCTAGGCCAAAACTAATATAGTTCCGCGCTTGAAAAGAAATAGTGTTGAACAGCGCAAGACGAACCTATTACTCATGTATGCATCCAGGGACTTTTGAAGAGAAGCTGGAAAAGCATCGAGAGCCAGAGACATGGGACGCGCCTGCTCAAAACAAGCATCACGGAGCTTTCGCACAATCCCCAGCTCCAAAATCTATCATCCAAATAAACCCACTTTAACACACTTAATAAGTATGTGCACACGATATTCGATAATCCCCGAGCCTATCATAAATGTGAGATTGTAGAAGAGGACTATGTTCATGCTCGGACATTCGCTAAACCCATACAAATTGCAATCACCACTCTGGCTTGATATTGTTTGCAACCTTGTCATCAGGGTCTGGCACTCGCTCTGCTTCGCCGAGGTAAACAACTCGTGCCTGCAGCAATTTCTGCCACACCCTATTTCTCTCGCCTCCCACAGCAACAGGCTCGCCTAATACTGTCGCATCGTAAACCCTGGATCCAATCCACCTATCCCCAATCTGTGGTCCCGCATTCTCAGTTTTTTCATTCTCTGCGCCTGACGCTCCATTTTTAAAACTTCCTTTGTCACTTCCACCGCTCTTCGTTTCAGCGAGAGACAATCCTGGTTTGTTCAAACTACTCAAAGCTACTGCCGCCAATACGGATCCAAGCAACATTCTCCGCCCCAAATGCACATTTGAGTATTCCGAATATTCATTTCTAATAACGCTCTTGACTATATCATTTTGGTGTTCTCCGACGATTATATCTTTTTCCAACCCAAATTGGTGCGCGCCTACTCCGATACCCGACCCCAAATTCGTATCCGCATCCGAGGCGTTTTCGTGTCCGGAGGAATTCGCAACGATTACAGACGATACATGCCTTCTTGGAGTCTTTGCTTTGCTCGCAATTAACAAATGCTTTGTTACGATAAACCTAACTGATCCCGGGTGTTGCAACTCGGGGTGAATCCCACGCTTCTTGCGTGCGAAGAGTGCAGCCTGTAATCTACGATTATGGCGGGTAGCATTCAAAACCTGCACTGAGCACTTTATCCTAGAAGCGCCACCAGAAAACCTCACAAATTTCTGAGCCGAGACTATACCAGAAGAATTAAGGCTAGGATTCGGAGTCACAATTATCGCAGCCATGGCGACAAGCTTCTCCAATACTCGCACACCGACTGAAACAAAACAACTCTCGAGTCTTTGGCTCCTACGCTAAAATATCAAGCTCCACATCGGCAGCCAAAATCCCCTAAACACGGAACTTTTTTCAGAAAGAGGTCAATAGAAGCAACACCCACAACACAGAAAAAAATCCAACCTCGAGAAACCGGCACTCCACTGAGCATCAGTCCTCTCTGTATCAGGTCAGCAAATCTCTCTCCTGCTGCTCCATATTGAACCAAGCTGAGGATTATCAATCACGCAAGCTGCAAGTGAGTGTCTGCAAGGGGATGAGAGACCCTGTGGAGGTGGGGAGTCCCTGACCTCTCTTTCCTGCACACTCTAGCATATCCATCTCCTCATTCATATCCATCCTGTTGCTTTTCCTCGGCCACCTGAAGAGGCTACGCTCGTGCTGGCAAAATGCTCACGTCTTCGACGCAACAGACCGAGACAGTGTGAATGCTGCCTCGCCTTCATGCTTTAGTTTACTCTCTTTAAAGTGACGGTTTATAAGAAATTGTTGACAGTAGTGTGTTTCGGTTTCTGACAGAGGATAGCTTGACTTGAGTCCGTGGCCACGTAACACAAGTACGTCTATTTATAGATGATGTTCTTATTACAAGTAAGATTCAATTGACGTCGACTACATCGTTATGCTCCTCCGCAACATGACAAACTGTTGCACTCTCAAATTAATAAAATTGGAGGTGATACCAGTTAAGAATGCTTGAATCAATTTTTCCGTTAAATTTACAACTACACAACAGATATTCAACGTCGATTCCTATCTGTGATTTTTAACCCAAGGCCATCTGGTCAATTGCTTAAGAATGTAATACCTGATTTGGATTGAAGTTTTTTGCAACTTTTTAGATTATGTGCTCGTCACTTCAGCCAGTTGCATTCTTCAGAATCTTGTTAGCATCGTCATGGACGTGGTTGTATTTGGATTACGATGTAAACGATGCTCATCACATTGAGCCACAATCTAGCGAACTTGATTGGCTGCAGAAATGAAATGTGCACGCAAAAGATCCAGATTTTACTGGCGTGCTACCATTTGGATAATCTTTTTCGTGGACAAAGTCCACTGTCGAAGTCAGCCATGTCAGCCTGGAAAGTAATGACATGTAGGTGCGATCTCTTTTGTCTCAGCTTTCAGATGGATAATTACCCCAAGTGAACATACATCTTTTCAAAGTTTGTAGTGCACCCTGCAGCAATTTGAAGCAAATTTGTGTTGTGATTGAATGCAAGATAAACTCATGTTGTCACTCCACCGCTTTGAATTCCAGTTTGGTTTTCAGCCATCTGAAGGATCCGTATGCGGGATCCGTCTCATGGAGAAGTAGCCTTTGCTCTAACATTGTCTGGAATGTCCTTTTCGGCACACTCCGAAAGATGCGAAGGGCTGGGAACCGCTACATAACGAGTTACATGGCAGATCTGAACACAGAGGAAGTCTTTGTCGACACTTGAATCCATGAAGTGTTACACAACACCCTCTCAAAGAATCTAAAGGACGATATAAAATGTAACCTTTAATATCATAGTCAGTGTCAACAAGAGTACAAGACTATATGAAGAGGGCTCATTGTGCAGTGGTGTTAGCATTCGTGGATAGCACCGCCATATTCGACCTCTGCAACTAGTTAAGAAATGCGAACGCAGAGTAGCAAACAACGGATCACCATTCAACCGAATTCAGGAGTTATAGGGCCATGCATGCTACTCATCATGAGCTGCACGAGTCTCCGAAGTTCAGTGAATTCAATCAGCTGTTGCAGCTGTGAAGACACGAATTCAATGCTGAAAGCTACTAGCTTCCTGATAGCCTGGTGTCACACCCCTCAGCAAGTCTCGTGCATTATATAAGCCCTAGAGCTGCGATCACAACTCGATGCAGCATTTGGTTGCGGCTCCTGTTCGAGTGTGCATGGTCGATCAATTCCATCACTCAGCAGGCTGCCACGGATGTTTGCTGTCAGTAGCTTACCATAATGTATGCTGTCTGGGTGATGTGAGGTTCATTCATTCTGGGTGGTCCACAAAATTGCTCTAACGTTTCTGTTGCAGGACTTGGATAATACACCACAAGAGCATGACTACCAGGATTCTGCATCGTTGTATAGAATTTTTCTGTCATGGTGCGTAGGTGAGGAGGGTATTGATCTTGTAGAGGTCAGAAGGTCTTAGGTTCGCTTCTCCTGGGGGAGATTTAAACATTTAGGTAAGCAAGCTGGAGTATGTTAATTCCTTGGCAAATCAATCACCAATATTATACTCAGGTTTTATAACCATCATCTCATGAGTTAAATTGGTTACCGCAAGGGTCAAAACGAATGCTCAATAACACTCAATAACAAGAGAACAGCAAGCACATGCCGCAAGCATGAGGATACCTGCACAGATGAGACCGGCGACTGAAGTGTGAACAACCCACTCACATTCACAGTGCGATATCTGTATGATGCCATCCTCTGCAATGTCAACAACTATAAACTGGAGCCGAGTACTGAGCCATGATGTTTTGTTTTAGGTCTCCCCGTGCTTAACTTTGCAGTTCAAGGATACTAAACATAAATCCCCACTTGTGGCTGACGATCGATTGAAGAGCAACATGCTTCTAAGTTGACACAAACTCAGGCATTATGCAGTGAGGGATTAGCAAACTTGGTTAGTGCTGCCCAGCAAGACTGGCTTCAATGATCTATGCTGAGGGGGATGATTTCTTACGCGTGAAGGGAGAAGTACCTCCTTGCAAGCAAAGCTTCATAAATTAGGAATTCGAGAGAACATTTCGGTGGATTCATATGGCTCGTCAGTGGCTTCGAAAGTCAGAGCTCAACGATAAGTTATGGAAGGGAGACAAAGGGGACACTGTACTTGATACTTCAATGGCGGGAGTGAGGACAGCGTTGAGCGCTGAGTCTCTTGCCAAATTCATCCTCCTGGTTGGGATCAATTCCGTCTTTCTTCTTGCGGCGCTGCATGTGCTCCACTCTAATCGTGAGTTCGAGAATCCTGGAGATCGGAGCAATTGCATCACGAGTGACCGCCTCAATAATGTGCATCCGATATCATTGTCGCAAGATCAAAACAGGCTTATCAAAACCAGCGAATCCACCACAAACGTACTTGCGTGAATTCTCGAAACATGATCCCTTTCATTTCTTAATTCTCTTGGCATTTGCACCAACTGATCCTGTGAATTTCTCACATTGATCACACTCATGTGCAGAATGAGCTCCAGGAAAATGTGCGCCAATTCGACACGTTCGGCGTGGCAGTCTATCTCTTCATCAAGATGTCAGCCTACAGAGATGGTCCAAGATCCTTCACAATCGTTGGGCTCGAGGCGAAGAACCCCGCGGAGCTTTACAATGATCCCCCTTACGAGTGCGTCTGGATTCCAGGCCCCGACTCCGTCGTCTGGGCGCCTTCCAAGGGATCGACCTTCAAAATGCTACCTGACACTGGCAATGTCTATAGCCGTCTCTACAGCGCCGTGATCATCAACTGCACATTTTCGCAAGATGTCGGTGTCGACAGAAAAGGCGGCCAGCTTGTGCTCTACGCCAGTTATGGTGACCAATTCCCTCGAAATCCCGAGCGCATCGTGGCCCTCACAGAAGCACCGGACGAATTTCTTGGCATGGAATACTACGAGTCTCCAGAAATGAAGTATGACTACGTCTACTGTGGCTCACCGTTGTTCGGCAACCTGAGTCCTCAAAAGATCCGTGAATGGATAGCATACCACGCGCATTTCTTTGGCCCGCGGTCACATTTCTTCCTCTATGACGCCGGTGGTATCCATGAGGAAGTTCGCCGCGTGATTGAGCCCTGGATCAAGGCAGGCCGTGTCACATTGGACAACATCCGAGAGCAGGAGAAATTCGACGGATACTATCACAATCAATTCTTAGTGGTGAACGATTGCTTCCACCGCGCCCGGCGCCTTGCGCACTGGCTCTTCTTCTTCGACGTGGACGAGTACATCTGGGCTCCGCCGAACGACAATTCCTTAGCGTCCATCCTCGCGAGATTCGAGGATCAATCTCAGATCATCATCTGGCAGAAGCCTATGTCGAAGAGCCTGTGCGCGCAGGATCAAGGGGCGGCGAGCAACGACAGTAGTTTCGCAAGGTGAGTTGCTCGCGCCATTCAATTCCTAATTTGACACAAGTGTTAGGGGTTGTATAGCCAAACGCGTAATCGGATTGAAACTTGTGCAGCAAATGGACATTTGAGAAGCTCGTGTTCAAGAGCATCAAGTGGCGGGAGTCTCACGACTGCAAGTACGCTATCCGTGGCCTGAAGGCTATGGCGACGGGGATCCACCGGTCGGGCTACCTCATCGGCAGCAACGCAACAACATACGCAGATCCTTTAAATTACTACCATTACCACAACACCATTAACAAGCGGGAGGAGGTTTGCGAGCAGTTCATCGACAGTAATTCGGTGTATGTCAATCCGCGCAACCGAACCGACAAGTTTGCCTACGACGACGGATTGGCAGTCCTCGCGGACCACATCAAAGAGTTCGAGCTTGACGTCATTGGACCACAGCCCTTCATCCTCTAAATTCCGCCCTCCCTTCCAAGAGCCTCACACGGTTCCAAACTCCGTTTCCTCTCAGATTGGTCCGAATTATCAGTTCGTTAGGCATGATCATCTCAGTTAGCTACGCACGATCTCAAAACCCTGAAGAAAGCGATCGCCGCAACCGAGGCAGAGGTCTCGTCCACACTCTCCGAACATATGAGAAAACGTGATTGTCTCGACGCAATGTAGGCGATGAATGAAATGTTATCAAGGCCTGTGTGCGCTTCTCCAGGACACGCGAGTCGAGTGTTCCGCTACAAACTCCACCGCTCATGGACGCTCCGGTGCTTTGAGAGCAGCGAGGGTTGCAATAGTCGATGAGCATCGGAGCCTTCTACTCACAAAGCAGCAAGAACGATCAACAGAAGTGACACGCTCTTCTAATCCTAATTAGCTTCTACTTGGTGCCTTCATGGCCTCCAAAAGAAACTCGCCACTACCCTAACATGAAACCATACAATTATGGGCGTCGGTGGATTCATGAACGTGTTGAAATAATTATCTTGACTAGTAATTGGTTCTCAAAGATTGTGTTTCTGCTTTCGTATACATAAACATGAATTGAACACAATAGTACAAATCTGATCTAATATTCTTGCAAAAAACTATCAAATATGTGTTGTTTCACAAGTAAAAAGAAAGCACAGTTGTTGAAAATTAAATACACAATAATCATTATTTAAAATATAAGATTACTTTATATATAGAAAGATTTGATATGTATCTATATATAATTCATATCATGATTCTTATTATTTTTATGTTTTTTTAAATGTGGTAAAATATTGTGTAATTTACCTTTAAAGAAAGTAAATTTAAGTATTTGTCTAAATCATATATTATCATGTCTACATCAAGGTTATAGAAATGCATCACCCATCTTTCGGTACTGAATGAACAACATGGAATGAAGCTATTTATCAGTTCCTTGCGATGGCAGAGTCAAGCTCACTGGATTCTAGACACTCACAATTGCAGGAGAGCAAACTGACTCACAATCACAAGTGACCCAGATTCTAGACAGCAAGTTTTCAAGTGTGGGTGTTGGAAAGCAGTTCAAAGTTCACAGTATTGAATCCGGCTCCAGACTTGAGCTTGCTTAACTCAAAGTAGAGCAGAATGCTTTGGGTAAGGAATGCTTGCAGTGAGTGTAGATCCCACAGTTCGTAAGGATTGCATTCCATGTGGTTCAAGACGGTTACATGTTCTTCAAATCATCATTTAGCGAGGATGATTCCACAATTTGGAAGGTATCAACCGCTATCTCTAAACTGTGTCAAAACTCAGAATGCGGTGCCAGTTTCGGGGGCTATGTACCCTTGTGCATGTTCCAGTGAAGGATGAGCCATGTGGATCACGTCAAGGTTTCCTTCCCACGCCAGGCGGCATCCCCATGCAAGTCTATTATCTTTGTGTCTTTTGAAAGATCTAGCACACAAGGTCATAGCTCTAGATTTGAATATTTTTACAAGGTAGCGGTAGGTGGATTGAGCAGCATTTCAAGTCTTCCTCACTAAATCAACTTGGTCGCATGCTGTGGAGGCTAAATTGGTAAACGTCACTTGGTACACAAAGATTTGGAGATAATCAAGCAGTAGGCAATAGTTGAAGATGAGTCAGTGCCGTCGGGTCATGTCTGCGAAGAGAGCCATAATGATCCATCAATAAAGCTCAAGCTTGAGAAGTTGGCAGCCTCAGCTTCGGTTAATTTTACCATCCAGCTAACCCGACCAGTTAAGTTCGCACCTGGGCCAGTGTTTCCATATTCACCGTAATGCTCATGTCTGCACAGACCCATCGATTCACAAATTCGTCACACACCTTTTAGTACCCCACTCCATGTGCGTTTTTAACGTTTCATTGAAAGCCGAGGAAGGAAACGATTATATCAGTTTGTCTCACCTGACGGTTGTGTCGTCAAGAAGACGCATTCAATTTATGGACACTCAAACCCAAATTTCAGTATCTAGCAAGTCTAAACGGCACAGAAAAGTGAGGTTTTAGCAACGATTGTCTTCCTTGAAGAACATGAAAAGTTAAGCATCTTATATGATTTGGAGTCGTCAATATCTCGCGAACTCACTCGGACGATATCAAGAAAGAGCACTGATGTGGGTATAGAGCAGTGACAAATCTATTACCCTTTTGAGGCGGTTACCGTCGGCCAATCGCTCCAACCCACCGGATTGATTATGTCTTCCATGTACGTGTCAATAAAAAACACACGCGAGTACAAGCCATAAGCGCGGCCAAGAATATTATCACCAGTGCCGGTAATGGAACCACCAACGAATGTAAAGCCTGTTGTTTCCTTGTCTGAAGCGCGACCCTGTGCCGTGATGCTCCCACTGCTATTATTTGCGGTGGACTGGATTTGGGTATACTGAAAAGTAACACCGCATGTACTTGTTAGCATGCGAAAATTAACATATTTCCAGTAGATTGCAATAGATCACCGTCACTAGTCTGTTCGTGTCTCTCTAGAAGTAAAGAACATTATGTTTAACAGTGGCTGCAAAGGCAGTAAGTTACATTCTGCCCCAATCCGTTGTGTTAATACCTTTGTTTTCAAATGCGGCTCAATTTGTCACTCAGATTTGTGAATTCATCGTAAAGCACAAATTTTAATGAAAATTGAAGGACATTCTAAAGATACACTGTTGGTACCTCGTACAGTGATTGTCCATTGCCCCAGATGATGTCGATGTTCCCCTCAACGTAGCAGTCCCGGAAGTAGTGACGACCTTCTTCATCGCAGATGGTATCTTGCGAGCTTATGAAGCCGCAGCCATAGAAGGCCGCCATATCTCCTGCAATGCGCAACGCAACTGCTTGGGCACCAGTTTCCCCTGCTACAGCATGTGGCGCCGAATTCTGCACGATTAGGAGTAGTCGATTCAAAAACATGATTTCGGAACTCCTGAGATCCCTACAGGATATCGTTACAGGCAATCAAGTTTGCATATACTGTAAATCATAGTACATATTGATCGTAGAAATCATGTGCCCACACCACCAGTAGCCTACATTGCCACCGTTTTAGCATCACAAGAGCTTGAGCTTGCCTGGAAGGTGACGTTCCGAGCAGTGAAATTGGCAGCGAATACAGTGAAGGTGGCACTCTTCATGGTAGAGCCTGTGCTATTAGCAGTATCGTTGTATGAGATTATAGTATTATTTCTTCCAGCTCCTTGAAGTGTAATAAATGGCTTTGTGGCTGGAATCGACACTTTCTCCCTGTCAACCACACCAGTCAGCAAATCCTATGCAGAATTGAAATGGTGTTGCAAGTGTGAAGCATTTTAGGGTAATCATTTCATTTTGGACGTACAAGTCATATACGCGGTTACGTGATGAAATAGTACTTGTCACACACCAAACAAACCGACGATACAAAAAAAAAAAACTGAACCCTATACACATCACCACCACCAAAAGTAAATGATGATGATGATGAAGAAGAAGAAGTAGAAAAGTCTGAAACTACGAAATTTTTGGTAGCACACGTCGAACTAACGCTCACGTGATGGGCATGCAAAGAGTTCAGACAAACTCACGTGTACGTGCCAGAGAGAATCTCAATGGTATACAAGTCAGTGTTGTTTTCTGCGAAAGATGGTGGAGCAACAAATGATCAGCAGACACCTCATTAAAAAGTAAAAAGAAAAAAGAAAAAAAACTTAAATCTCGATCAAAAATTCTATATTTTCCCCAACAACAGCAGAGAAAACGAGAAGACGATTTACCTGGCACTGCATCAATCGCGTCTTGCACGGACGTGTAGATGGTTTCGGGCCCAAAAAAAAACGAAGTTGTCATCACAATGAGTGTGGTACTCGTGGTGGAGCTTGTTGTTGGCGCACTGGATGGTAGAGTCGATGGAGTTGTTGGGACGCCGAAGGTGGGTGAAGGTGGAGCAGCAGGCGTGCTTGGGACGCTGAAGGTGGGAGACGGTGGCGTGGCAGGCGTGGTTGGGGCACTGGGCGATGGCGGAGGTGCTGGACTGGTGTATAAGGGCGAAGGCGGAGTGGCAGTCGATGAATTTGTCGAAGCAGAGGGAGAAGGCGGACTTGACGCCCATGACCACCATGACTGCCCATGACATGGATCTGGCATGCTGCTGAGAAGCACCACCATTGCTGCGAGAATAACATATCTTGAATTCGGAATGAGTATCACATGTTCTGCCATTGCATGCGCTACTAAGGAAGCAGATTATTACAAGAATTTGCCTGATATGCTTATCGACAAAAATCCCTCCTGCACAATTGACTCTGGCTTCCTGTCATCTGGAAACAATTGCATCTCTATCCACGATCGGCAGTAAGAATTTGCGTCAACAATGAAACAAACGAAAGTGGACACCGCCAATGAAACCTAAAAACTTCCAGTATCAAAAAGAACAGAAGAAGAACTCAAGATGCTATTCAACGTTGAGGAACCACATTGTACTGCACATTCAATCAGCGTGGCACTGGTTGAATGTGACCCAGAGCCTACCGTAATCACCCCCGGTGAACACAACCGATGATCGTCGGGTGAAGAGCGCAGATTTATAAAGTATCTATGGCTCTGTCAACCAGACTGGATAGAAACGGGAAGTTCCTCATTACAAGTGTGCGAGATTAGCGTGAGGACAGGAATTTGCAGTTAATTAGCTGTAATGATACTAAAACTTGACCGTAGTTCACACATTAACAATGGCCTTTAAATGCTCCTAAAGTGATGGTTTCTCTTCAGCTGACCATGTTGAGGAAAGGTGTAAATGCACTGAGTGAATATCAAGCGATGCAGGTATCAGTTCTGTATGCTTGAATTTGACCTGCACATCTAGGGAAAGGATTTTGAAGGACTTGAGTTTAAGCACACAATTCACCACCGAATCAAAGCGTTCAGCTGGCAACTGAATTGTTTAGATTTACCTAACCAAGTCTGGCTTACTCGAGCCCTATTCAATTGCGACGAACATTCTGCTGGGGCATCCCATGCGGTGCACACGTTAGCCAACTTCTACGTAGATTCCCATCTAGGGTCTACAAGCGCGTCGGTTTCGCAAGTAGTTGAGTGATCTCAGTTGTTTCCCTGCTTGCTGAATACGCAACGTGGTCACACAACTTGTGAAGATGATCACCCCAAAAATGCCGAATGATATCGATCCAGTTCACTCATTGCAGCTCTCGAGGATTCAAGGCAGCTTCATGGCAGAAGGACGAGGTAGTGGTAAACTTCGACAGAGGTACACCTTTAGAGTACACTCTCGAAACAGTACTGTTACGAAATTCTACAAAGCCAACCTTTGATGGTATTGGTCGATGGTACACGACATGCTAAATTCTCATTGATACTGAGACCAAATTCAGATCCTAATGTGGAATCTCTGGTGTTAACCATACAAACGAACAAACTTTAGCAGTAGAAGAAACAAAGACCGGAACTGTTCTAGCATGAAAATTTTAGAACGAACTCTGACACTCACAGCATCAGATACCTCGATCATATATCCACGGCATGCACAGGCACCCAGTCCCGAAATTAACACAGTGAAACAAAATTCTATCGATTACACACACCATCAAGTTGAAACCAGGATGTGCAGTGAACAGAACCACTGAGGTACACCCGAGGAACCCAAACACCTGGACCCAGTCGCCAGATCTGGGTACCGAAAATAATTACTGCAATGACCGCAAGTGTAAAGAAATCGGGAGGAGCGACAGTGAAGCGCCGTGGTGGATCCACCCACATGCTTTCACTTCTATTCACTTCACTTCATTGGGGATCAAGTTGAGAAAGCAGAGCAGAGTGGAGTAGACTCGGTGTGTGTGTGCTTGAGTGATACTGTCAGTTACTGAATCCGACGTTGCCTCCACTGCAGGATCTGCGAGACCCCACACCAGCATCAGGTCAAAATGCACTGTTCATTTCTTGGCCAGAAGAAAGATGGAGCTGCATTCCGGTGGCTGAATCTTGCGCAGGACCAGCGCTATCAAGCTCAGCCCCTGTTTGTAGTGTGGTCATAGTTAGTTATAGTGATTTTTAATGGTTTTGAATTTATTTAATTATATCTGTGTGATTACATAATAATATTTATCAAACTTGAATGTATATAATAATAGATATTTATTCCTTTAAATGTAAAATATTATTAACAAAGTACATAAATTTTATTTGATAAAATTTAATTTTTTCAATATGAGTTTAAATAACTATATTAGACCATATTTCTATATTTTTTCACATATATTAATAATTAATGATCTTTAGAAGAGCTTTTAATATAAAAGTAAAGTTTTTATGTCCAATTTTTATATAAGAAATACAATCAACATTGTGAAATATTTTAAGTAAATTTATTATATTTTGCAATAAAATATTTTTTGCAAATTTTTTGTTTATGTGCATACAAGTTCTACATGAAATACATGAGATCTTAAACTAAACTTTGTAAGGATTTTACTAAAATAACATGTAGCTCTTTGACTAATATGAGGGACTTTTTAGAATTCTTAGATTAATTTCCTTGTTTTATCTTTTATTATAGATATAAATATTTACCTACATAAAAAGCATTAGGTAGAAGATAGATGTAAGTAGATTTGATAATATCTTATAGCAAAGCTTTTGAAAAGCTTCATAGTCATGTATTTGACTTTATATATGTTTGTAGTTGATTGATATATTAAAAACTTGGCCAACAAGTTAGCCATGTATTGCATGTGTTAGTAGCTTGTGGTACAAGCTAATCATATGGCACATATATAAAAAACTTGTCTTGTATATTAGACGTATGTCTCATAAGTTGGATATGTGTTCAAGATCCTATAAAATGTCACTACGTAGCTCATAGTTAGATAGTATATATGGAGATAAGAGTGAAACCTTCTTCATTCTTGTCAATGCCTATCTTATTCTTAGTCTTATTTCAAAAGATCTAATTTCATTATCTTTTGCAATAGCCATTTTAGTTCAATATTATATTATCTTTGAATGATTTTCTACTCTTTTCAAGTGATACAAGAGTGTATTGATCCTATGGTTCTTTGGAATTCATATCTTTGACAGTTTGACAAAAGTTTTAATTCATTGTTCTTATTTTTATTTTAGAAGTGAGTGGATTATCCTACTTCTATTGTTGTATTTTGAAGGTTGCAAACTATCCATTTTTAAACTAACATTTAATTTTCTAACATTGATTTTTTGCTTAAAAAAAATAAAATATCTCTCTTTGTCAAAAATTTCATTTGATATTAGAAGTTATAGACTACCCTCTTCTAATTTGACTTATAGATTTATTTAAATTATCTATTAGACAAAATTATAGATGCCACTTTTAGTAGAAGTGAGAATAAATTGATAACTATTCATGAATTTTCCAACAATCTAAGATAGAAATTTCACGTATTTGTAATATCAACCATAGAAGTACTATTCCTATGCTTATAGAAGAAGTCAATAATAAAGTTCAAAGTCTATGTCAAAGAGTTGTAGAATTGAAAAAAACAAGTAGATCAAGTTTACAACTAAATTTCAAAATTCTTGTTACTACAAATATGAAAGAAACAAGAATAAATATGCCGGAGAAGTTTGATGGAAGAAGATCAAAATTTCAATGATTTTTATAATTAATTAATTTCTATCTAAAATTACATCCTCTTCAATGTTCCAATGGATTTATTCAAGTTGGATTCATAGGTGGACTTCTATTTAGGAGTGATTTTTCATGGTTTGTACCTTTAATAATACAAAATTTATAATCTTTTTATGATTTGATTTTATTCTTAGAAGTATTTATGGCTATATTTGAAAAAAAAAGTCATTAAAAAATGATAGAAAAATCTAAATTTCTATTTTTATATCAAAAACCATATTCAACCACCATATATGCTGCTAAATTCCAAAACCTTGGATGCAACATGGATTGGAATGAAAAATCCCTTATTAATCAATTTCAAAATAGATTGAAAGATGATATCAATGATTTATTATTGACAATGCTAAGAGCAAATTTATTAGAGTAATCTATTGCTAAAGCCACTGCATTCAACAATTAATTCTTTGATAGACACTAAGTATAAAGATTTGATTTGACACGTACAATTTAAGTCATGACAACAACTTCTAAGTTTTCAAAAGTTTATTTATCTAAGCCAAAACCTATGGTATGTTTCAAACTTCTTATCAAGCAAGAAAAGACTAAATATTGTTATAAAAATTTATGCTTATATTGTGGAGAACCTAAATACACTACTCAACATTGTCCAAAGAAACAACATAATTACAAAATGAAGAGTGTGTTAGTTAAAGAGAATAATGTGTCAAAAAATAAGTTTTTTCAAGTACAATAGGGATTGTGTGGCTCAAATCTTGTATAATACCTAGTAAAAGTCTTATCCTCTCATTAGATTCTTCATCTTCTTTTATAATAGAAATTTTTTTAGGACCAAAAAATCACAAAGTCTTTACCTTGTTATATTTACAAATCTCACTTTGTTTTATAAACAAAGACTTTGTTAAAAAACAAGTAATAAATTTAATTAAAAAAAAAAAACAAATCCATACATATAAAAGTCATACATGGTCATTTATTTTCCTCTAAAGATATTATCTATAAAACTATTTTTTTAGATATAAAAACTAAAGATTATGATAATTTAGTAATATTTAATGTAATTAGATCTTCTTCCAACTCAATTATTTTAGGATTATTGTGGCTATAGAAGTATAACCTTAAAATAAATTATTTTTTTAAAGCTTGATTTTTTTTACATTTAAATCTAGAATCTTGTTAGTGAAGTAAAAATCCATAAATCTAATATAACCAAATTCTTATTAATAGATATAAGAGCTTTCATGCATGCTTAAAAAATGTATTACCTTCTGTTATATATACTATACTTATTTTTAATGGTACAAAGACTTTAAGAAGCTAAAGCATTATTTGAAGCTTTCAAGAAGGTTTTTATTTTGTACCAATTTTATGTTGTATTAATTTTTTCAAGACATTCTTAATAGAAACAAATACATCAAATTTTGCCTTATATGATGTGTTATCATAAATAGGAGAAAATAACAAATTCCATTCAATATCTTTTCATTTCAAGAAATTTTTAGAAGCCAAGATCAACTACGAGATCTACAACAAAGAGTTTTTTGTAATTATAGATTCATTTCAAAAATGACATCATTATCTAAAAGAAGCTTTTACTATAATTATTGTGTATATGATATCATATTTTATGAAGTTTATTTGAGAATGCACCAAGCACTTCACTAAATGAAGATATTATAAAACTTGCAACAAGAAGATCCTAACAACTCTAATAGAATCCTAAAAAAACTCCAATTAAATTATAAAAATTCTAATCAATTTTTAATTAAATTCCAAATAAATCTTAAAGAACTTATAAAAAACTTTAAAAATCATAAATTAATATTAAAAAAATACATTATAATAAAAAAATATTAAAACATATCAAAGAAATATTTTAAAATATTAAAAATAAAAATATTAATTTAATCCTAACTAAATCTTAATAAAGCATTAAATCAATCTTAAAAAAGCCGCAAACAAATCCTAAATCCTAATTAAATCCTAGACCAAATATTAATCAAATCTTAATCAAATTTTAATCAAATCTTAGACTAAATCT